TTTTTTTTTTTTTTTTTTTTTTTGCATGTTACCGTATATATATATTTTTTTTATAGTGCTCCACCTGTCAAAATTTAGAAAATCTTCTTAAAAAGCAAAAATATGCAAATTTATTTTTTATTATATATATGTCTTAAATGAAATTGAAATTGGGTAATAAAAAAAATAATTTTTTCATTCTTATAAATATTAATATATAGATAGATCGAAGATCCGTACCACCCTTTAAACAGATAAAACATAACTTAACGACCATATTAAATTACGCTCAAGTTAATAACGCACGAGTTTATGATAATTAGTTATTTTTAGGTATATAAAACTAGAGCCAGTTCAAACGGCTCCAATCCCACACAAGCTCATAATTGTCAACTTCCATCTTCAGCTGCATGTTGTAGTTTGTGGTGGCTGCTTCTCCATGCCCATCTCCAGATGAAAAAGACTCCGGCGAGCTTGCTCTCTCCACCGTTAATGGCGGATTCGGTAACTTCTGGTCGTCGGCGAACTGATCGCCAGCGTTATGCTGAGTTTCTAGACATTGCTTGGGCGGAATTGGAGCCTCCAATGGCGGCGGTTGCGGGCGTCTATCAAATGCTCTCAATGACTTTGATTTCTTGTAAATTCGACATAAGCTCAACTGCATGCATGCAAAAAGTTAGTATCGTAATCTCGAGAGCGTTGGTATAAAGATAGAAATGTTTAATGGAACCGGGACGGGATTTAGACCTTAGGGTAACCGATGAGCTTATATTCGTTCATTTTCCATTGAGTTTTGGTTCCTTTGGGAGCTCTTCCATTGTAGAAAACCATAGACCTTTTAACACCAATGCTTCTATGGGTGTTTGAAGAGTACACATAAGTTGGAGACCCAGTGGCCTTCCAATACCCATTGGCTGTCACTCTCTTTGGTCTTCCTCCTCTTGCTTCACTTTCTTGCCTTGGTATGAAGAAAAACCATTGCTCTTCATCTCTCTTGCACACCTCCCCAGCAAACTCTACAGACAATATATCCAACTCGAGTCTCGTGAATCAACTTAATATTTCGACCTCGATTTAAAAAGATTAAGATTTTCTGATCGTTTTGAAGATGGGTTTTTTTAAAAAAACCGAACTTATCGTAATCCTTACACGACTAGCTTAAGCTTTCGAATTTGGTAACGACCGATCTAACAAAACCCAATATTGAGTATTTGTCATTGTTGGATGATGAGTCCCCACATCGACTAATTTAGGATGTGATCATGGGTTTATAAGTGAAGAATACTAACTCCATTGGTATGAGGCCTTTTGGGGAAGCCCAAAGCAAAGCCATGAGAGCTTATGCTCAAAGTGGACAATATCATATCATTGTGGGGAGTCGTGTTCGTCTAACAGTCATAACCCTAAGGACTGAATTACTATTTTAGATCTAAATTCATAAATATTTGGTTGAAAATGGGTTTTTTTTTTTAAAAAAAAAATCGAACTTGTTATAACCCTTATACGACTAGCTTAAGCTTAAGAATCTAGTAACGACCGATCTAACAAAACCCAATATTGAATATTTGTCATAACCCTAACAATTGACTTATTATTTTAGATCTAAATTCATAAATATTTTGCAATCATTTTGAAAATGAGATTTTTAAAAAAAAAATCGAGGGGACGAAATAGGAACAAGAGAGATACATTGAAGAAGATAAGTATTGAATCTATAAGCTTTTGAATCGGGTAATGATCGATCTAACAAAGCTAAGTATTTGTCATAACCCTAACGACTAATTTACTATTTTAGATCTAAATTCATGAACTTAATATTTCGTGATCGAATTGGAAGATGGGTCTTTTTAAAAAACCAAACTTGTCGTACACCTGACACAACTCGATCTAACATAAGCCCTATACAAAAAATAATCATGGACGGGTTAGAAACCGATCAATACAACAATCAATATACATCAGATAACTTTGTCATTGTGCTACATGAAATCTTGATAATTTAAGCTAACCGTATCAACCAAGCATAAAAATGTGTGAATTGATGATGAAAAAGAGAAAAAAGAAGAGAGAAAAAGTGAAGAACACAGAAAGGTAATTAAGAGAGTAGAGAGAGAAAGAAGTTACGTGGAAGATCCCAAGGATTGAAGAGATAAATATTCAAAAGAGGTATGGTTTGATCAACGGCTCGAATCAAATCCTGGGTTCCACCTTGAAGCTTGTGGAACAAATAAAAGGAAACAAGCTCTTCTTCAGTAGGGTAAAACCTAAACCCAGGAGGCAAAGAATCTGCCATTGTTGTTGATGTGAAGAACTGACCAACAAGGAGTTGATTCTTCAGGAATAAGCTAAGCAATAATGAAATGTGAATATGGAGAAGTTGAGGGGTTTCTAAGAAATGGGGGAGGTGTACGGATAGGGAGGAAGAGAAATAATAAATGCTTCAAGTCCGGGATGATTGCAAATTACGTGCAAAGACAAGAGAAAAAAAATGGGTCAACGAGCAAATAAATTTAACAAGTCAACTTAGAGATGGAAAGTGTTTGCTATTACAACGTACTAAATGGTTTTTATAAATATGTGGAGTATGGTTGGAGAGAGCAATAATAAATATTGCTCAATTGGTCCCACTTAGCTCGGGGATATGGCTCAATTAGAAGAGCAATGCTTTTACAATTGGGTCATTGGAATTACCATATACAAGTCTAATTATCTAATCATAGCATTTTATAAGAGAACCAATAAAAAATAGGACCAAAACATGTCACTAAAAAATACTATTAACACAAAGATGGAACGTAAAAAAAAAAAAGGAATAAATCAAACTATTTAATGAGATGATCAAACTATTAAATTAATTTTTGTTATGAATATTCAAATTATGTATACATTTATTTTTTATATTGCTTCGTATGGAATTTAAATTTACATTTATGTCAATATTTTACTCTGGTAATCATTCTCCGAATATTGGAATTTAAATGACAAATAATTCTTGAAAAAAAAATCTATTTTTGGATAAATTTTTAAAAATATATATGCCAATATTCGATATATTAGTTTCTAATTTGATTAAAAATAAATATACGAATAAATAATCCATAGTATAAAAAATTATTATTATTATTAAGGGCAGATTGCTCGGCATTAAACCGAATATTAAATTGATTGATATATGAACATCTAACGGCTTGCGCAACGTAGCAAAAAGTAAAACAACTCCGTTAAATATTTAAAAAAATACATATTTGAATAAATACTAATTAATTATTTTACATATTCGAATATTCGATAAATAAATTTCTAATTAATTATTGTCGATATTGAACGAAATTCAAACAACAGGGATTACAATTGAACTATATTTATAAAAAAAATCCATGTAATCGTATAAAACACGTTAATCCATAAAATTACAAATGAACTAAACAGAACTGATAATTCACATAAAATGGGAATTGCAGGGCTGATTTTCATAATCTGAAGCCTTCATGGTAAGTAAATTGGATTGGTCACATAGAGTGCTATTTGGAGCCCAACACAAAGCCAGACTTCTACAAAAGCACCATTCAAATCTCCGTTCTTTTCTTCAATCATCAGGCCGAAGAACATACTATTTAAACTCCATCATAAATATTATAAAACAACTGATTATAATTACGGCCTCAGAGGTAGTGACAATCTGCAGAATCATCATCTTTTAATCTGATAATACGTGCATTCAAATGCATCATTGGCCAAAATTTAAAACAAATTATTAACTAATTGAAGTGCATCAGAGAGATTCCCAACGACAAATCATCATCCTCCTACAGGAGTGCTGATGTCCCTGTCTATCTTATCGTCACTTGCACATTACTAGTAAATAATTATTTTGATTAATTGAAATAAAGAAAGCAAAACAAAATAATCATAAAACAACTGAAGAAGGGGGACTTTGATGCCTCAGATGAAGTTCTTTTCATAGAAAATAATCTCAAAGTATATTTAACACCATCATTGGCATCTCAAATTCAAATAGTTTCAGATGAAAATGAAACAACTAAATGAAAAATCAGTAGTAAATAAAAGTTACATCAGATACTAGTGAACGTAATCAATCATAACAGGGGAGAATTTCTCAAAACCCATTGAAAGACCTTCAATAACATCCTAACAGATATTGTATAAGTTTGAAAGTCGATTGCAGTTCAACTGCTACTACTCAAATACTAAAAATCTACATAGAGAAATTACACAATTAACAAAGAACTAATTTTAAAAATTAGGTTGAATTATTATGCGACAAAAAATTGGATGTTGTATTTCCGGCAAGTCAGACAAATAATAAATGCCTCAAAAATTTAAGTTCAGGAAGGACTAATCCTTTCACACATCTAATTGAATCATCATCCTTGCCATGAATTGATAACAATTTCGTTGAAAACTTCTGAAGAGCCGAAAGTGAAAACAAGAACAAACATGGAGCTAATAGAACCATAAAGGAATACGAAATGTAACCCACCTTAGAGCGAGACACAGACAACATCCATACAGATCTGCAACACAAATTACCTGAAACTGAACTAACGAATCAGCAGAAAAGCTAATTCATTAGGGTTTCAGGTAACAAGTAGTAGGAGATCCAAAGGCGGAAAACAAATGCCTCAAGAACAAGTTCAGGTGGGAAATGGCGAGAAATCCAGAAGGAAAACCCTAAAGAAATTCTCGGAAAAGAGTATTCGTTGTAGCGCGGCTATGACTCAAAACGCTTCCATTTCACACTGAGGAAGGCGATCTTAAGGGCCGCGCAATGAAATTCGCCATTAAAACGCCGCAAAAAGAACCGCACATAAAAAAAAATACCGTAACGAAGAAAAAGCCCTAAAGAATGACGTAGACAGGGTGGCTAAGAGCGAAGGAGAAACCCTAAATTGTGTATTGCAGAAGAACGGGGAGTGGTATTTATAGGCTTCATCCGGTGAAAGAGTCGCGCCACTCTTTTTTGGGCCTCCGATTATGGACAATGTTAATGGGCCTTTCTATAAAATGGGCTGCTGCGCCCCTCTTTTTGGGCCGCCAATTATGGACAACGTTAATGAGCCTTGCTATAAAATTGAGCCCATTTTTTAGATTTAAAAATTGAATTCTTACTCACATGTGTTATATTGAATATATATATATATATATATATATATATATATATAAATAGAATTAAAAAGAACGATAAAAACTACTTTTCCTATAATATTTCAAAATTAAATTTAAGAGACGGATTTATATATGAAATTCATTTTAATCTGTAAAAACACTTCATTTATGTTGTAGAAGCTTCAATTAATGCCATTAGAAAGCTTCGAAAGCAGATGCAATTCCGTAAGGCACGTTGATCCGTTTCGGCAACCGGAGTTTTAAATGTGGAGTGGATTATTATTGTTCTTCCGGATTAAAGATCTCCCGCGTCTTCCATGATCGTTACTGCAATTACGAGCGAGTAATTTAACGTGATCATTCATCTTTCCTTTTGGATTTTGGAATTCGTGTTGTTTGGTGGGCTATAGAAGCATGGAGCAGGAGAGAAGCATGCCAGTTTCATTGCTTAGCCCTAGATCTCCGTCTTCGCAGCCTTATCTGTCAGTTTCGGTGACTGATCCTGTGAAATTGGGCAATGGGGTACAAGCTTATATCTCATACCGAGTTATTACAAAGGTATTTGTGCATTTATTATGTTTTTCAATGGTCTTCGAACCTTTTGTTTGATTTTTCGTTCATTTATCATTTCATACGTGATGACATTTTTGAACTGCCATCAGCCTGCTGGCAGTTTTTATGTTCAATTGACTGCCAACTAGGTAACATTATGTGAATTTTGTTTGCGATGTGAAGTGAAGAATGCTGATTGTGTACCTAACTAAGAAACTGGAAGAGATCGATTCATTTGCATTCAGCTGTAGTTTTACTCGGTATTTGGAAGGCAATAATGTGAAATAAAAAAAAAGGAATGCAGATTGGATATCAAATGTTACCATCGAATATAATGTGCAATTTCCGGCTTCAAAGCCGATGGATGATGTGAGAGATGATTGAGGCTGACTATTTAAAGAAAATGAACAGGGATGTTCTTTTGTGGGAAATTGCATAGGCCGGATAGGAAGTTCTAAGGAGGAGTTGACGTAAATAAGAAAAAGCTCTCTACATGGTGGAAAATAGATGAATGAATGGTTGTATGGGACGAGGTGCAATGGCTGAAGGTTTTCTGAGTTTTTAAAGAGTTCTAAATTTAGGCAGCGTTGGCTGAAGGTTCTACTAAAACTACGAAAACTCTTGGAGGGAGCTCTTGTAATTTCCTCATTATTTTGCGAGAATGGTAATCAATGAGTTTGCTGAGCTTTTTTATTTATTCTATGCTTATTTTCCTATTATAATCCATGAAAACAGAGCACATTTGCTGTCATAATGCTTCAAGGAGCATGAAATTGTCTTGCTGAATAATGAAGAAGAAGGATTGGCCAAAAATTGAAAAGTGAAAATCATATCTTAAAGAGACAAATTTTGTTTCTCAACATGAAATCCTTACTTCAAAAGATGATTTTTGATTGGCACCTCTAAAACAACTGATATTTTGGAATACGTTTCCTGAGTATTACATATTTAAAAGACAATATATTAAAAAAATCATCAAGGACTTCGGGTTCAGGGGGGAAAATATCAGCTGTGTATACTAGGTAACTTTCAATGGGTAACAAAATACATAGTCGACGTAACGTCATTTTCACATGAGAATCCTTTCTGTTTGTGCTCTTTTCCAGAGATGATTTTATCAAGTATATATTTGCCTTTTATTTTATGTTTAGTATGTATAATGATTGACCAGCATATCATTTGTTATAATTTGTACTGGCAGACTAATTTTCCTGAATATCAAGGTCCAGAGAAGATTGTCATTCGGCGATACAGTGATTTTGTTTGGTTACATGATCGGCTTTTTGAGAAGTATAAAGGCATTTTTATTCCTTCTATTCCAGAGAAAAATGCTGTAGGTAAGAAGATTATGAATTTCCTTTGCCGTTATATGTTTCATTATTTTGAGGTTGGATTATGTCACTAAATAATAGTACTTATGTTTCCCTTTCCATTGCTAATACCAAGGGTTCTAATATTCTTTCAAACTATCGAGTTTTCATCAGTATTAAGGTGTACTAAATAATAGTACTTATGTTGTTCGGTGTTTTATCTAATTAAAACTGAACCTGCGAATAATTATAATGTTTAACAGTATTAAGGTGTTGAGATATACAAATATATGTTCCAGAATATGTTTGAGCAACGTGTTCAACTATCAACTACCATTCTGTTGAGTGGGTGTACATATGATTACTTCTTTTTGCTGAATTAGTGTTTGTTGGTATGATATATAATCCATGAATTTGATATTGAAGGTTGATTTTTTCTATATATACTTGTACACAGAGAAATATAAGATCTAGAATTGCCATTGATAGTTTAATACTTTGTTTATATCGTGAGGTCATCCAAAGTAATGAAAAAGATGCGCCAGATTTGATGCTGTTATACATTTAATATTTATGTTTAGAATAAGTCATAAGTTCAGTTTTTGTGCTGCAGAGAAATTTCGTTTTAGTGCTGAATTTATTGAAATGAGGCGTCAAGCTTTGGATATATTTGTAAATCAGATAGCTTCACATCACGAGCTTCAAAAGAGTGAGGATTTGAGAACCTTCTTGCAGGTGGAAGAAGAGGTGATGTTCAAGGACTTTTTATGCCGTACAGTACATCCTCTTTTTCTTTTCTCTGCCCACCATACTATGTTGTACTGTCCATCCTCTTATGTAAGAAGATCCATCAAGTTGATACATGTGTTATCTTATGAGCAGACCATGGAGAGGTTGAGGTCTCATGATTCCGGAATTTTCAAGAAAAAGCCAGCTGATTTAATGCAAATGTTCAAGGTAAGAAAGTGTTGGGGTGGAGGAATGATACACAATTCCTAATTTGATTGTTAGTGCGTGTGTAATTTAACGAAAAATAAATTTTATTTCATTTCTGAAGGCAAGTACTGCCAGACTCCAGAGATACGAACAATTTTATATCTATCAAAAAGGTTAATATAGCAGCGATGTGAACAATTTTAAATGTCCTGTCGATGCAGGAAGAAAATTGGAGATTGCTTAAAAGCTCCCTCATAGAGGAGACGCAAAATGGAAAAATTTTCAATTTCTGCCTGTCTTTAGAAAAATGGAGATTGTTCAAAAAAATTTGAACATCTGCCTTTGTCTTTTTCTCTTATTTTGAAAATTTCTGCCTCTGTTTCTTTTTCTCTTATTTTTTTCATCTAAACATCTCTCTCTCTCTCTCTTGTTCTTTTTGTTTAGGCGGATCAATGTTTTATGTTCGATGGGTCACTTTTTTGAAAAAGAATTCTTGGACACTTTTTTACTTTCTGAGTTAGGTTATTAGTGCTACTAGATGCAAGTTCTGGTTTCACTCAGATGATAAGATGATAAGTGAAAGATTCAATATAAACAGTATTCCTGTGCTCTTTCTGTAGAAGATGTTGTTGCTGGCTTTTTTCAGACCTCCAAGCCTATGTGGTTTGATCCTGCTGGTTTTGTGGAATATGTATTCTAGGCTGCCTCTGGTCATCTCTTTAATAACAAAAATGACGTTGTTTGCATGTTCTAGTTTCTCCTTGAGAGCAGTCATGATAGTGTTCTTTTTAAATTTTGTCAAGAGGAGTCTTCGCAATACATTGTCTGTCGTGAATACTGAATTAAACATTCAATTGGTATGATGTCTACTCTGCTAGTATTTTGTATTTTGTTAAGAGACAATTTTTTCAACTCCTTTGACTAGGTGGGAGGGTTTATTTTCCTCTCGTTTTTGCGATCCTCCTTTGACTCAATAACACTGTTCCCCCCCTCTGGTGGACGTACAGTCTAAAGTAAGTGACATTGTTCTTGGAAAAGAAAAACCAGTGGAAGAGTCAAATCCTGAATATGAAAAGCTAAAACACTACATCTTTGAGCTTGAAAACCACTTGACTGAAGCCCAGAAGCATGCATTTCGACTTGTGAAAAGGCATAGAGGTATACAAAAATCTTCAAGATCGTTTAGTTGTAGCTAAAATTTGTAATTTATGTTTTTGCTACCACTTTATTTCATTAGAAAGCAAATGAATAATGTCTGATTATTTCTGCTTGTGCGCTAGAGCTGGGACAAGCATTAGCAGATTTTGGAAAGGCTGCCAAGCTTCTTGGTGCTTGTGAAGAAAAAGCTGTTGGCAAGGGGTTCTCAGAACTGGGAGCCAAATCAGAGATGTTGTCAATTAAGTTGCAAAAAGAGGTATATTTAGGGTGTTTTTCCATAACTTCTTAACTGATTTATTTAAAAACATCTTTTTGAGAATTACTTGCAAGCTGTTTTCCCAAAAAACTGATTTTGAAGTGATTGACCCAGTATAAATTCACTTTATCGAAATTTGGATATTGGCAGAGAGGATTTTGTTGTGTTAATAGTACTTGTGTATTGATGTGAATCTATAGGCTCACGAACTTCTGTTGAATTTCGAGGAACCCTTGAAAGATTACGTTCGTGCGGTTCAATCTATTAAGGTAAATCCCCCCCCCCCCCCCCCCCCCCCCCCCCCCCCCCCCCCCCCCCCCCCCCCCCCCCCCCCCCCCCCCCCCCCCCCCCCCCCCCCCCCCCCCCCCCCCCCCCCCCCCCCCCCCCCCCCCCCCCCCCCC